GTCTATATATAAGAAATTTTTTTACTCAGGTAAATTAGTCAATGAGTGATAGATTTCTCTTAGAAGAAATTTAAAGGTCCCAGTGAATAAACTACACAGAGTAAAAATAGCTATCGTATTCATTCAATAGGACAGGTGAACTTACAAAAGTCTAAATACCTGGTCAAGAAAGAGATGGCACTGTGGAAAACTTTCATTGGGTTCGCAATAAAACGAACTAAACATCTGTCTACTTGTCTTACTACCATCCTTAGTGATCTTTCTGCAGTAAAATATAGACTTTAGAAATATAGTGATGGGTTTATTCAACAAGTGGTGTCAAACAGATCTGGATTCATAAACATTCTAAAAATCTGTTCTTAAATCTTCAATCACAATCGATAAAATTTAGCAGAAATATCGAAACTTCCGATTTTCTACACTACTATTCTCCATGCTCAATTTAAAGACCGACTTCATCTTTTTATCAAACAGTTCTTTATCTACAAAAATAGGACTTATATCTATAAATTCCTTGTTAAAGGTAACGAAAATCTTACTTTGTGAACAACCAAACAAGTACCACCAACAAATACACCAAAGATAATATCATAAAAATGCTTGACTATCTGATCGACAAACATATCAGTTGAGTTTGGTGGATTGATAATTCTAATTACTAATTAAATACCCTATAAGCTACTGACCGACTTGTTTTTGTACTCATATGAAACAGAATTCACAGTTTTTGTAGACGAAACGAGCGCCTGGCTTACAAAATTTTATTCCTGGTATATATGATGAGTTTATTTACAACCATTGGGTCAATGCCACTGCTGGTGGAGGTTTCATACCCGAGGGTATCATCAGCCCAGTAATCAAAACTTCTGTGTACACTGAAATAGTCGTAATTATAAATTAACTGTTAACAAAACATTGAATTTTTCTAAATACTCAGGATTTTCTACCCCAGGAATAGATTACCTTAGCTCTATTTGGCAAAACCTTTAGGAATTTTATTTCCTCAGTGCTCCTCAACTTTGTACTTTATTTATTGCGAACCCAATGATACCTTTCCACAGATTCACCTGCAAGTTACCTGTCGATTTAAACTTTTGTAAGTTCTTTTGTCCCATCTAATAAATACAATAGCTATTATTCTCTGTGTAGTTTATTTGATGGGACCTTTAAATTTCTTCCAAGAGAAATCTATCACTCACTGATTAATTTACCTGAACAAAAAATTGAACTGTCAAAAATGAAAATACATGTACAAGTACTAAATAAGGACTAAAAAAACTGCATGTGGTGTTGTTTTTATTCAATATCAATAATTCATTTTTAATAGTTTCAATATAAACACTGATTCAAAAATTAAAAGTTGATTTCTGAACAAATTTTTTATATTTTCCCTATTAAAATTTGCTTTTTTTGTGTGTTTGACAAATAAAAACTTGAAAATTATTGTGTTTAAATTGAGGTCTTGATAAAATGTATTCTATAACTGAACAACAACAAAAACATGCAAATTCATTGGAACAATACTAAAAATTTGGTCAGAAATAAACTTTTTATAATTGAACAGATTGAAAATATATTATTGATATTGATTAAATACAATATTGCATGCAGTTTATGCGAGTTTATACAACTATTTTCCCAAAAAAAGAAGATAATGTTTTGGTCAGGTAAATTAATCAATGAGTGATAGATTTCTCCTAGAAGAAATTTAAAGGTCCCAGTGAAAAAACTACACAGAGAACAATAGCTACTGTATTTATTCAATAGGACAAGAGAATAGACAAAAGTTCAAATACCCTGGTCAGGAGCAGACGACTCTGTGGAAGACTTTCATTTGGTTCGCAATAAAGTTTTTTAAACTCATCACAGATGAGTCTTTTGTATATATATGATGAGTTTAAATAGAACATTCTCAAAAACAAATAGAAAGAGCATCGTCCAAAGTTCTTTAATTTCACTTTCATGTATATTATACCTGTTCTGTCTCTCAATAACCCACATTTCAGCGAGTGCTTGCATCTCATATATAACAAATTAATCTTTTGATTAAAGATACAACAGAAACCAAATGGTCAGTGTCATATCTTAATCTTATGCTTTATATAGACACAGATGGACGGACCATCAAAAGCACGAAATGTTCATAGCGTTTTTGACGCTGCAAAAATAATTAATGCGAATATTTTCATATGTTTTATTACAAATGTAATTAACAAGTTCTTTAATTGTAGTAAGGGAACTTGTTAGAAGCACATAAATAGATAGTTGTAGAACGCTTGCGACAAGCTGAGATGACACTATATTTGACTCGTTTTTTTGTTGGTGTAATTAATGTAGAAAATACATATGCATACCATACTACACATCAATACACTCATATCTAATACCAATGATCTATTGAATAAAATGACCTTTTCCTTTGATATAACAGAATTTGTTTCAGTCGTTACAATTCATTTTCAGTAACAGAACTTTCAAGAAATACTATAATACGGTTAAAATATTGAAAATATTGTAATTATATTGTTGTATAATCACTTCGTCCGGTTTTTTTTTTGGGGGGGGGGGGGGGAGATTTACCTTAATTCGTTAAATTATGATCTGAAGCAATACATGTTGCTTTTGTTTTCTGCATTTATATTTACCTTTTTTTTTATTTTTGTTGTACAAAATTTTCTTTGAAGTTCAGCAATTGATATTAGAGTGTTCCCCGGCATGATTGCATACCAGTATGGTCAATTACTTCGAGTGTTCTTCCATTAACCATGTTGATTGCTAGGTTAGGGGAAGGGTTGAGCGCTCAAAAACATGCAACAAATGGAAGTTTTTAACGACTTGACTGGCTATACAGGCATCACAAACTTGTTTAACCCCGCCACATTCTTTATATGCCTGTCCCAAGTCAGGAGCCTGTAGTTCAGTGGTTGTCGTTGGTTCACGTCTGTCATATTTGTTTTTCGTACATTGTTTTGTTATAAATTAGGCCGATAGTTTTCTCAATTGAATTGTTTCATATTTTTCATGTCGGGGCCTTTTATAGCCGACTATACAGTATGGATTTTCTCATTGTTGAAGGCCGTATGGTTGCCTATAATTGATTGCTTACATCCATTTTATTTGAACTTTAGTGGATAGTTGTCTCATTGGCAATCATACCACATCTCCTTTTTATACGACCGCAAAAAATTTTGCGGTCGTATATTGGTATCACGTCGTCGTCGTCGTCGTCGTCGTCGTCGGCGACGTCGTCCGAAGACATTTGGTTTCCAAACAATTACTTTAGTAAATGTAAATAGAAATCTATGAAATTTAAACACAAGGTTTATAACCACAAAAGGAAGGTTGGGATTGATTTTGGGGGTTATAGTTCTAACAGTTTAGGAATTAGGGGCCAAAAAGGGGCCCAAATAAGCATTTTTCTAGTTTCCAGACAATAACTCGTGGAACGGTGTATTGATCTCTCTGAAATTATACTACAAGTTTCCATACCACAAAGGGATGGTTAGGATTGGCTTTGGGGGGTTATGGCTTAAACCGTTTAGGAATTAGGGGCAAAAAAGGGGGAAAAACAAGGGTTTCCTGGTTAATGGACAATTAAAAAAAAGTACAATGTTATGTTTGGATTACATCCCTTAAACGGCTTTTAAATTATGTATAAAGAAATGTTGTATTGTCTTGAGGTGATTAGCTGTCAATTTATTTTTAGAAGTTACTATTTAAAAATGCTTATTAAGGAATATTAATTTTAGCCATGATTATGTATGTCATTTTCTATTTTAAGACTTTTATGATGTATTTAAATGGGCAATAATGGTTGAAAACTCCATTGGAAATTTGAATTGAGATTATGACCATATCTTGAGAGAAAGAATTTTTTGGGGGAAAAAGGGGGGGGGAGGTGAAAAAAAATGGGGGGGGGTAAAAAAGAAATTGTGAGAGGGGGACAATTTATTCTCATTTCAGATTTCAGAAATTAAAAAGAAAATTTCTTCAAATATTTTTTTTTGCAAAAAAAGGGGGGGGTAAAAAAAAATTGTTTGGGGGGGATCAATTCGCAACAGCAAAGTGTATTGCACAAAAGCAAAAAATGGAATATAAATTCAAATCATATAACCAATTCTCAGTTCTTTGACTACAGTTATTCTGTGTCAGAAACCTATTAAGTGTCAAATATTTAATTACAATCCAAATTCAGACCTGTATCAAGCGCAAATATTGTGACCATTTTTGCCCCAACTGTTCAGGGTTGCACCTCTGCGGTCGTATCCAGCTGCGCTCGGCGAAGCAATTTATTTTATATTTTGATGCTATATAATTTTTTTTTTTATATTATGTTAGTTCTTTTGTCTTTGGTATCTAGTGTACTTTTGTTTAAGAGTTTAATGCCTGTTTAGATTTTTATTGTAAACTATGTTCTTTGTGTCACTTTTGTTAGTCCGCTGATCGACATAAGAAAGGGGAGGGCTGAGATAAAAAAGAGTTTAACCCATCCATAAATGTACGTGCTTGTCATAGGCCAGGAACCGGGCCAGTGATTGTCTTTTATAAAATATCTGAATGTTTTTGTTTTGGAAATTAATGTTGATGCCGATTGAAATCTTTGATAGTCTCTGTTGAATTTCTTCACAACTTATTTAGATTCGAAAAAATTTAGAGCGTGACACTGAATAGATACCCGAATACTATTGAAGAATGTATTTTTCCCTCAGAGAGTTCTTTTGGTCAATCATTGGTCCTTCGGTTGCTGTCTCAATAATATATCTACCACATCTCCATTTATTTACATACTGGGAAATGGACATACAAGCTTTGTTTTAACAAATAATACAATCTAGACGTATAAGAGTATTTCTATATTAGTCGCAGCTTTATTTGAAGGTGGTACAGATGAAAAATGAAATAAAAAATAGAAATTAGCAGACCCTCATTTTGTCATTTAAATCTTTATCTCAAATTACTAATTTGCCGATGAGGATTGAAGTGGAAAAAATTGATGAATTTATAAGTTATATTTTATTTAAATGATTTATATTCAGAAATACACAAAACCATGAAAATGATGAAATAATTCAGGGAAGACAGTGTTGTCTTTCATTTGCGTGTTTTGCCTATTTTTGTAACAGTTCCCTATTCACAGCATTCTGACAGTTAAGAAAATGAGTTTAACGATTATCAAAATAAAATGTACCAAATCATTGTCCGAGTGCACAGTTATCTTAACTTTCCATCGTCATTTTTAACAAAACGTATCGAAACTAAATAACACTAAATAAAAAAGCACTCCCATATCTTGAGTTGCACACCAGTAAGATATTCTTTTCCTTGTTGTAGCATACACATCTTGGTTGGTTAAATCCGTCCGCTTCAGTACGTAATGTTTTGCTCAGTTTCCCGTCATCTTGTACCATCAGAAGGTTATTGGAATGTTTACCCACAACAAACAAATTCTGGTTTTTGTCAACGGCAATTCCACCAGGAGAGTTAAGTAATATATCCTCGAAATTCCATATTTCCTCTCCAGTTCCTGTACAACAGTTAACAGTGTGCTGTTTCATTTGTGTGAAGTAGATTCTTGATTGGCTTGTTGTGATATCATAAACATCAGTGCTACACTTGATTGTATTAATTTTGGTTCCATCCATATCTAACACTACTATTCCTTCATTTTTCACTACAACATATATCTTTCCATCATTGTATGATATTCCACCACAATAGTTTTTGAATTTCACTGTTTTCACTATCTTTTTCCTTATATCTATAACCTCGATGTAGCATAAAGCGCGATAAGAAACAGCAATGTGATCGGTATCTATTACTGTCAGATCCCATGGCCGTGCAGAGACGGGTATATCACGGATGAAATTTCCGTCTTCATTATACTCCATTAGTACATTCTGTCCATTGTGGTCTGCAATCAATAAGTTACCATTTGCCAAAATTGTACATCCTGCAATGTACATTTCATTTCCTGTTTGCTTAATCGTGAACTTTCTTCTCAATTGTAGCTTTGTATCATGAACAGATCTTCTAGGTTGTACTTGCATTTGGGCTTGATCAATATTTGCTTCCTTAAATGGACAGCTGATGGTACTTTCGTCCACTTTAATCCTAGCAAAGTGGTTGACATCTTTCAACAGTGAATTAATACCCTGGTGTATTTCAATGTCTATGTTATAATTCTTAAAGGACAGGAAGGCTTCTTTGAGGGACTTAACACCATCGTGTACCCCTTTATTCACCTGATGTGTACTAAGGAACAGGTGTAAGTCGGAGGCAAAACGCTTTAGTTGAGTTGTTTGTTCCTGGAGAGGTTTAATTTTTTTTTCAATATTACTAAGTTGGTTCTGTAATTTCGAATATTGTGACCTATAAGAAGTTGATGTTGTTGTTAATTCATTTAACAATTTCCTTTCCAGATCATCTAAATGTTTATTAATATTTTCCCGTGTATCGAAGATCATTTTCTTTATTACTATTATTTGCGTTTCAATTCTTTCTGCAGCTGCCTCGCGATCCTTATCAAATCCTTGAATGTTTTGTAATGTGTTGTTAATAGTATGTTCCAAGTCGACAAGAGCAGTAGATGTCTTTGCATTTTTTGCAGCTTCTGCTAAAGGAATGATGGCATCGAAGCAACCTTTATGCTTTGCTGGAAAGCATGCCATACAAATAGCCATTTCATGTAATTTGCAATACATCTCAAGTTTGGACCCATGTTCTTCGCACTCAAAGCGAACATTGACATTTTCAATTTTACGGTATTCGTCGATGGTAATCAAGTTGTGATATCTCGATATTTTCATAGATTTATGTGCCTTTTCACATATATTACAAAATCCTTCGTTGCAATCGGTGCACCATTTTTCTGCACTCTTCTCTAATCTTTCGTGACCACAGGGTCCACATGGAACAAATGAAGCCATATCTTAATGCATCTGGTCATAAAAAAAGAATAAAACTATATTACAATGTATCATATTTTTTCATCTACTTCGTTTAAGTTTAAGTCACATAAATAGAGGATTTCGTTTAATTTCTTCTTTATTGATTAGAGACAATGTATTCCTAAACCTGGATGTCTACTAGCTTCTATCCGAAGTCTATCCCAATTGTTATGATGCATTGCTATCTGCTATGTGATAATTAGCAAGGTTGTTCTAGAATTAACACTTGCATACGTCCGAAGTGTTTTTCTGTGTTTCCTTTCATCAAGAACGCTCGATGTGAAGAAATGACGACTGACAACAATCTTATGATATTTAATGTGAAATGTTCAAGAGGATCAGTAAGGACTTGGAATTGGGGATCCAATTATTTCCCCCTTACTTTAATTTTCAATTTTACCATAATTAAAGGGCAGATATTTTCATATCTTATATTTGACTGCCATATTTCAATTACTTTCTCAATCTAATAGCCTTAATGGATTGTTGGGGAATTCGTGAAGGGTCATTACCGACATTTAAAAAACCATACTTTTTTTTAGTATTAATAAGGTCATTTGATTCATTTCCTGGTTAAAATCGAAAATAAAATGTGGACCATTTACTCAGACAATCATCTCACCCTATGCATTTCAGAATCACATAAAATTTAACAAAACTTGAAAGTTTAATGAAGACCCTTCTAATATATTATAAATTTAAGCATCTTTGCAAAATTGTCATCTCAGAAAAAAATCCAATTTAAAAGATGGTAGATTTATTAAGGGACTTCATTCGTGGGCACTGGACTGGTAACCTATAACTGGGATCTTATTCCTATCAGACCACATGATCATCTCAAAAAGAACAAATTTTATTTTAGTGTTATATTTAACATTGCCATTAAAGCGGGAGGTTTGGCTAACCACAAAACCAGGTTCAACCCACCATTTTTTCTTGAAATGTCCTGTAGCAAGTCAGGAAAATAGCTATTGTTATCTTATAGTACGTTTCTGTGTGTGTTGCATTTTAGTGTTTCTGTTGTGTCGTTGTTCTCCTCTTAAAGTTGATGAGTTTCCCTCAGTTTTAGTTTGTAGCCCGGGTTTGTTTTTTCTCAATCGATTTATGAATTTCGAACAGTGGTATACTACTGTTGCCTTTATTTTTGGTATTTGCTGACGGAAATCAATTATCTTCAATAAAATCAAAAAGTTTTGTGTATAAGGCTTTAATTTGTGCATATTATAGCCAGAAACAAGAAGCTGTAGTTTTTATGAAATGAATGGAATAAAACTGCAGAATCTAACACTGTCTGTCATATTAAACAGCTTTGCGGCCAATATAATGTAGCATTATCTAAATATCTACTCAAACTAAAGAAAATCGTGTATTTCTTGAATATGATTTAATAATAGTCTCTAACATGACACCAATATGATAGATAAAACAAATCTTCATGTGTCTCGAATATTATGTCAATGTCTATTAAATAAATCTCAATTTGAAATTTTTTGTTGCATAATTCCTTCAGGTCTACCTTACCTTTCACAAATACAGGCACCCAATTCATTTGCAATTATTTTCCCATTACTTTAATTTTAATGCAATTTTGTTCTAATGGAAGGACAGATTTTTTTAATCCCTATATTTAACTACCAAATTTCAATTACTTTCTCATATTAGTATCCCTTTATGGTTTCCCCTTTGAATTTATTAGAAATTTAAGCATCTTTACATAATTTTTTTCTCGGTACAATATCCCATTTAAAAGATGGTAAATTTATTAAGAGACTTCATTCGTTGGTACTGGACTGGTATTCTGTAACTGGGATCTAAATCCACTTGGTTGATCTTGTTTTTGTAAATGTCAGTTTCAAAGAATTTGACTTGAGCCACACAACAACTTCACCTTGTGGAGCAGAAAATGCGTAGCCTTCCGGGTAACCGGCGGTCCAAATTGCATATAAACGGTCAAATATTTCTGTTCTTCAGTTTTTCAAAATTTAATATTTGCATAAGAATGACTAGTCATTCATTCATATAATTTAAATTTACCTGTGTACGTTATTTTATTTAACTCCACTTTGTCCCAGGTTATAGTTGTCTTTTTGACATTGTTTTACACCTCCTTTTCTTATTAATATTGTATTTATATTGTGTCATAGATCAAATTTATTCGTTCAGTGTATGTTTAAAAAGAAGAAGTGGTATGATTGCCAATGAGACAACTCTCCACAATAGACCAAATGACACAGAAATTAACAGCTATAGGTCACCGTACGGCCTTGACACAATGAGCAAAGCCCATACCGCATAGTCAGCTATAAAAGGCCCCGAAATGACAAATGTAAAACAATTCAAACAAGAAAAACTAACGGCCTAATTTATGTACAAAATAATGAACGAAAAACAAATATGAAACACAGCAACAAACGACAACCACTGAATTTCAGGTTCCTAAACTTGGGACAGGCACATACAGAATGTGGCGGGGTTAAACTAGTTTGAAGGCGCCAACCCTCCTCCTAACATAGGACAGTGGTGTAACAGTACAACATAAGAACAAACTATAAAAATCAGTTGAAAAAGGCTTAACTCATCAGATGGATACAAATAGAAATACATCCAACAAAAACACAAAGTGAACGTGGACAGGTACTTGTACATCCCAACAACAAAAAGACACTTAGCACAGATCTGAGAGTACTCGCAATTACTGACAGTTAGTTCAAAGCCAATAACAACTAATAAAAAAAATCATGCATCTAAGACTAAATATTTGTTTTTGTAAATATGTCTTTTTGATCGAGTTAAGCCATTTCAATTGATATTTTATAGTGTGTCTTTCTATGTTGCAATGTTACACTACTGTTTCAGGTTAGGGTGAAGGTTGGCGCCTGTTAAAACGTTTAAACCCGCTGCATTTGTTTGCAACTGTTCTCAGTCAGGAACCTGTTGTTCAGTGGTTGTCGTTTGTTGATGTGGTTCATAATTGTTTCTCGTTTCTCGTTTTTTATATAGATTAGACCGTTGATTTTCCTGTTTGAATTGTTTTACACTGGTCATTTTGGGGCCTTTTATAGCTTGCTGTTCGGTGTGAGCCAAGGCTCCGTGTTGAAGGCAGTACTTTGACCTATAATTGTTTACTTTCTACACATTGTGACTTGGATAGAGAGCTGTCTCATTGGCACTCATATCTATGGAACGCCACAGCTGTCTTATGTGGTACTCTGATATTACGTTATGTTGTTTTATTATTACTTGATGATATTTTGTCTTTACATAATATGGTTTTGACATTACGTAATGATGTTATGATATAACTCAATATGGAATAATCATTACTTAATGATGTTTCGATATTACATGATATGGTTTCGTATTGACTTGATATAGTTTTGTCATTACTTAATATGGTTTTGTCATTTCTCGATGTGGTTTCACAATTATCCAATGTGGTTGTGTCATTAGGCAATGTGGTTTTAACATTACTTGATGTGTATGTGGCTTAACTTAATTTAGTTGTTTCATTACATGATGTGGTTTTGTTATTTCGTAATGATGATTTGCCAATTCTTTATATGGCTTTAACATTACATAACGATGTTTCAAAATTTGACGATTTCACACTACATGATGTGTTCGTTCCAGTAATTGATGTGGTTCTGTCATTCTTTGATGTGGTTATCACATTACTTGATGAGGTAAAACCACGTGACCATTTGGGAAAAAAATAGTTCTATTATTAGAACCAATTTCCACGGATGAGTGTGGCCATCCATTGAGTTAGAGTTAAAATAAAAGTTAGGGATACCATTCGAGTTAAACCTCGGGTTAGTCTTCGATTTCGAGTTAGAATTCAAGGCATTATTAGAATTAAAGTTCGAGTTAGCATTGAGTTTCGTGTTGAACTTCGAGTTTGAGTCACATTTGAAGGCAGAGTTCGAGTTACAATTCAACTTTGAATTTGAGTCACCTTTTGAAGTAGAGTTCGAGCTAGACTTCGAATTTGAGTCTCATTTAGATTAAGATTTCGAGTAGAAATTTACTCGGGCTTCCGAAAAGATGGCTTAGGGGTATGCGCACAAAAGATAAACAATGTTACAGTATACAAAACACCATAGAAATCTAAATAAAGTTAGAAGATGTGGTATGGTTGTCAATGAGACAACTATCCATCAGAGTTTAAATGCAGTATATGTAAGCAAGTATAGGCAACCATACGGCCTTCAATACACCGTATAGTCGGCTATAAAAGGCCACCATGTGAAAATATGAATCAATTCAAACGAGAAAAGTAACTGCCTAATTTATAACAAAGCAATTTACGAAAAACAAATATGAAAAACATGAACCAACGACTACAATTAAACTGCACTCTCCTGACTTAGGACAGGCACATAAAGAATGTGGCGGAGTTAAACAAGTCTGTGAGCGCTCAGCCCTAATTCTAACCTGGGACAATAGTGTAACAGCACAACATAAGAAAAAACTGTAAAAATCATTTGCAATTGGCTTAACTCGATAGATCGGTATGACTGGGCAATATAAATCCATCAAAATGCGGGGGTGATCTCGGGTGCTCCGGAAGAGTAAGCAGATCCTGCACAATGTTTGGCACCCGTCGTGTTATTCGTGAAAGTACAAACCGATTGATTTGGTCTGATTCGGTAGGTCACATTCGAGAAAAAGAGGACGGGATTGTGATTACTACAATAGGAACATATCCGTCGTCACCTGTGAAACAGATATTCCCAAAAAAAAATTTTTTCAATCATTTGGTATGTGGTGGAGAGTTGTCTCATTGGCAATCATACCACATCTTCTTATTTTTATATAAGTTTTTTGCAGGAAATATTACCGAATGAAACAGTTTTGTCATGATAAATTTGTAAACCTCCATGAATTATTATAAACAAATTGTATAGGAGTTAATCTTCAAGATCACGATAAAGCATCTACAGAAAAACAAACTTTTTACAAGTAAATGGATTTGTTACAGTCAACATTACACTTTTAAAGTGACAGCAGCAATCTCAAGCGAGACAGAGGGTTTCGTGGAATCCTTCACGAATTAATTATAATACTGCTTCCATTTGAGAACTAAGGAGAAAAAAAAACGGCCGGACCAAGTGGTGTGAGGATATTCCCCTTATGTCCGAAATATTGTTATTTTTTTATAATACTTTTTTTCTTATTTTTTCATACCAAATAACTCAAAACAACAAATCGAACTTTAATTTGAACTTTAACTCAATGGATAGCGACACTCATCCGAAGCACATTAAACATATGGAAATCGGTTTAAAAATAGAACTAGTTTTTCCCAAATGGTCACGTGGTTTTACCTCATCAAGTAATGTGATAACCACATCAAAGAATGACAGAACCACATCAATTACTGGGACGAACACATCATGTAGTGTGAAATCGTCAAATTTTGAAACTTTATTCTGTAATGTTAAAGCCATATAAAGAATTGGCAAATCATCATTACGAAATAACAAAACCACATCATGTAATGAAACAACTACATTACGTTAAGCCACATACGCATCAAGTAATGTTAAAACCACATTGCCTAATGACACAACCACATTGAATAATTGTGAAACCACATCGAGTAATGACAAAATCATATTAAGTAATGACAAAACTATATCAAGTCAATACGAAACCAAATCATGTAATATCGAAACATCATTAAGTAATGACTATTCCATATTGAGTTATATCATAACATCATTACGTAATGTCAAAACCATATTATGTAAAGACAAAATATCATCAAGTAATAACAAAACAACATAACGTAATATCAGAGTAACACATAAGACAGCTGTGGCGTTCCATACATATCACATCTTCTTATTTCTATGTATCATGTTTTATATGATATTATTTTGATCAAAAAACGTATTTTTATAGAAAAAAATAATAAAGTAAAAAACACATGCCTTTCTTTTCCGGCTAAGTAATACAAATTCAAGATAGGTGTATTTTCATTCCAAATATATTTCTATACGTCAAAATACCTTTTAAAGAGAGAGTGAATATGTGTAATAATGTTTTGCCAATGTATTTAGATCTGCTATTGTGAGATATCTTATTTCTCATGCTCAGTTTATTTTATGTATGTTTGTTTCTTTCCTCAAATATTTTACTGGAGATAATTAAACATGTCAAACCCGACGACACAAATTCAACCGAAATAAGAAAGTAGAAAACGAAAGTTAGGGCAATGCTAATATTGTAAAACTAGAAAATATAAGATTAAACAAGGGTTAACATATAATACTGCCTGAACAATGAAAAAGAAAATCTATGAAACTCATTCTTACCTGCGGACGATCAAAGAGGAATTCATTCGTTTTTTGAGTCTCATTCGTTTGTGTCAGTTGAGTAACCAAGACAAACAATGTCACGTGGTATTATAAATACAGTATTTCAAGCGCGTATATTTAAAAAATCAAATCAGCATTCTGTGCCGACATCATAATTTGACTCACAATACGGAAGCGAAATATAAAAGTTGGTTGAAAAACATGTAAATTAAGAGATACATAAGATAGAACTAACAATTCATGATCAATTCTAATAAATTATCTTCCAACGATTGGGTACTGGAGAAACACTGCGTTTGCCGACGTCAGCGAATAACAGAAAACATTGATTAATTTATTTTCTCTGATGTCTCAGAGGATAATGTGGAGTGATTAGGCGACCAAGTATGCATTAGTTCCATTCACGTTGATCTGCATGACAAAGCCTTGGACGATGGAGGTGGCATATTTAGATGTAAGGCTACGCAATAGATAAATAAAAAATGAAAAAAATAAGTAAATCGTAAAATTTAGTCGGCTTACAACTGTTCATAATACATGTATGCTGATTATGTTTACTTAAGATCTTGGCCCGAGCTGATAGACAAGTTGTCTTTGTGCTAATTAATTTTATGTTTTCAAGGTTAACAATAGCAATCAAAATACTGGAAATTGATCTGTCAAATTAATTACCACGACAATCGTTTTAGAATTGAACAAAATGTATTTAATGTTTTCAATACATATCAAATCTATTAGAATTGAAAAAAGGTCCGATTAACCGGTTAGCGTTTTTGGTATTCGATATTTGGTCCTTCCTACGGTTAACCGGTTAACCGATTAACCGTTGACAACACTAATTAATATGTATATAAAAATCATGTACGTACAAAAGCCAATATTCTTTCCATACGCCAATTTCTAGAGTGTAGCCAATACTACTTAGCTCATATATCATGATTTCCTTAATAGAGGGTTGCTACTCATAAGGAAGCTACTAAACCAATAGTTCCAAGTGGTGAAGTTAAAATCCTCCCTTCGTAAATTTTACGGACGCCATCACGAGTTAGTTGACCGGTATGGAATATCTGGTTCACAGAAGACGGTGGATATGTTCCAATTGTCGGAACTACAATCCCGTCCCCTTTTCCCCGAATGTGACTTACCGAATTAGACTTATCACTAGGTTTGTACTTATATAACCAGCAAGACGGGTGCCAAATGTGGAGCAGGATCTGCTTACCCTTCCGGAGCACCTGAGATCACTGCCAGTTTTTGGTGGGGTTCATGTTGCCCAGTCTTTAGTTTTCTATGTTGTGTTTTGTGTACTGTTGTTTGTCTGTTTGTCTTTTTCATTTTTAGCCATGGTGTTGTCAGTTTATTTTTGACTTATGAGTTTGAATGTCCCTTTGGGATCCTTTGCCTCTCTTTTAGCATAACACAATGTCTCAAAATATATCCTTTTCATAACAAAGTTATCAAATACGCCATTGTCACGGGACTTTACAATATAAACTGTTGTGTAAGGGGGAATATTACGTTTAAAAGTCGAGTCTGTTCTCATTAAAAGAATATGAAAATGTAAATATTTGTACAAACATTCTTTATCCATTAAAAGCTTTTACTTTAACATGTCGTCTCAATTGTTTTACATATACATGTTTGCATGTTCTTCTCGATATATTCGCTTTAAATGTTTATATTATATGCATATATTTGAGGTGAATGTTTGAAACCATTCAAAGATAACAGAAATATTTTAAAAGATTTATCCAATTTCGTCTTGATTACTAGACATTTAAATTGAGATTGATACCTTGATCTCTGAGGAGGGTCAAAGTTTCTCGGAGAAAAAAAAGCTTACTAGCACCCAAAAGAAAGTTCAGAAAAGAACATTACATAACACAGCTTTTTAATTCAAGATCAGAATGAGCATTTTAATTCCATTACTATTCCAATGTATCTTTTACCCTAAAATTTACAATTTTTTTCCATTTAGTTATGACGATAATTCAAACGATGACTTGAAATGGAACTCTTTATTATGTGAGGAACAGAAACAACTATTTTGGTATTTTTGAATTGCTTAAATCTGTCTCTATGGTCATTTATAGTGTAATGCAGCTTTACTATAAATAATTTCTTGTATGTTATATTTTCATACTACAAAAATTATAGTTTGAGCTTAAGGTCATATGAAACGAGTTTCAAGTAATTATTATGTTATCGAAATCATTGAATCAATGCATGCATATATGCATATATACTAAACTAAGTACTGTATGCACGTTGTTTTACATTCATTATGATCTATAACGTACCATCGACAAATAATATTTCATTCAGGATTGTCGATCGCAAGCTTTCAAGTTTGTTACCGAAGTAAACAGGATCTTGACATTGATAAAAAAAAATCAACACAGATCATGTAGAGCACATGAACAATAAGTGAATTGACTGAGCCATGATATTTTTTTAATTATTTTCTATGCATTGTCATTTGTTAATTAAAATTTTCCTTAACAGTTGTTTAGTGATTTTGTGTATTTGATTTGTTCTTTAAGAATCGTTTATTACTCTTTAAATTCCAGTGCATGTTTTTTTCCATTCTTTCATCAAGGTTTTCCCCTCGCGCTTGCGCTGTGTGGTTGCCGAAGTCTAACGAGATGTCTCGTAGTAACATAGTTGCAAAATCAAATACACAGAGGTCATAAGTCCAAGCTACCACGACTCTGCATAAAAAGTAGCATGAGTTTCATGACGAAGCATAAAACAATACCCACTACATAATAATATATTTACAAAAGCAAATACACGGAGGTCATAAGTCCAAGCTACCACGACCTCTGCAAAAAAAGAAGCATGAGTTTCATGACGAAGCATAAAACAATACCCACTACATAATAACATATTTGCAAAAGTAAATACACAAAGGTCATAAGTCCAAGCTACCACGACATCTGCAAAAAACAATACACAGAGGACATAAGTACAAGCAACCACGCCCTCTGCAACAATTAAAATATCGTCCCCATTACCCAAACAGGCAAAGACAGGCAAATTGGTTTGTAATCAATAAGCATTGGGTTGTGATATAGGTAAGAGACATTTCCTTTTTATACCGTTAACATAAAGCAAACAATGTACACGTGCATACATTAAAATACTAACAATTATAGCGAATAGGCTAACTTACTCCAAACCAAGCACCGTGACGAGATTTACGAAAGTAGCATGATTTTCGTGACATAGCATAAAACAATGAACACTACACAAAAACATAATTGCAGAAGGAAATACACAGAGGTCATAAGTACAAGCAACCACGCCCTCTGCACCAATTGAAATATCGTCCACCTTACCCAAACAAGTAAGGCAAATTGGTTTGTAACACAATAAACAATAGCTAAGCCTTAAAACTTAAACTGTCTGCCTCTTTCATATAAGAGTATTTAAATGTATGAATCTTTAATAATATCGCATATAAGTATGTAACTTTTCGTTCTATCATGCTGCTTGCATGTTAATTATTATCATTATGCAATAAAATTTTGTATTTGTATTTGTATTTAAATGAACCATGTCTCATACAGATACATAAGGTGGATATACGTTCTGCAAACATTTGGATGCTATTAAGGATTCAGTAACTTGTAAAAAGAACATCGGGTTTATCATCAGCTATCATTTTCCATAAGTATGGTAAATAAGTACATTTTGATCGCAAACGCACAGTATCGCCACCAACACCAAAATTAATTTTACCCGATATCTCTTTCACAAAGAGATAAATTTGACCAACTGCTACGTGTTTTGCATAAATCAAAATCGTGTAATCTATCCGAATTGAAGAATGGTCAAAAATTAACTGTACGTTTGTTCAGAATGTAAGCATACAATAGCTAAAGCATAAAAGTATAGTTCGATTTTACCTCAAATTGCTAAAAGGAATTCACTCCAGTCCAAATTATCCATAAAATTAAAATTTTTCACAAATAATTTTTCACAAATTGTTTGATAAGAATTACAAGTTAACACATCAAATGCTGATGATAAAAGTAAGTGACCACAACGCACTTACACGTGAACTCGTGCTGACCCCGCAAGATCATTGACCAATAAGAAAGATGTAATCCAATCATGCACTGGTCATAAGTGAAATTTCTCTGCACGTGAAAACATGTTATCTAATTTCAACAATTTATCGTTTAATTAAGTAGGACAACTCTGACCTTTTGACCAGTCTAGAGACATCATAAATTTACAGTAACAATATCTCACTCTTTATTTAAGTCTTAGTAATAAACAATTAATACAGAATTATCTTCTCTGCTGTCTTAAATTATTTTATTCAGCTTAATTGTCAATTAGCAAATAAAATTGGTTATACTAAACTAAGTACTGTATGCACGTTGTTTTGCATTCATTATGAATCTATAACGTATCATCGACAAATAATATTTCATTCAGAATTGTCGATCGCAAGCTTTCAAGTTTGTGACCGAAGTGAACATGATCTTGACATTGATAAAAAAAATCAACACAGATCATGTAGAGCACATGAACAATAAGTGAATTGACTGAGCCATGATATTTTTTTTTAATTATTTTCTATACATTGTCATTTGTTAATTAAAATTTTCCTTAACAGTTGTTTAGTGATTTTGTGTATTTAATTTGTTCTTTAAGAATCATTAATTACTATTTACATTCCAGTGCACGTTTTTTCCATTCTTTCATCACGGTTTTCCCCTCGCACTTGCGCTGTGTGGTTGCCGAAGTCTAACGAGATGTCTCGTAGTAAAGGTCACTGCATTCGGGAAAATATCGCCGAATAAGCGTGCGGGAAGACAATAATTCAATAACAGTACATTTATGTAGATGTTGATAATATAAAGGATTTTCTTTTAGAAGAAAGTTCACGTACACTTGTTTTATAGTAAAACTTAGCAATTCAAGTATAAAAAAACATATTCAACTTTTTTTTTCAATTTGAAGTTTCATATGACTTTAAAGATAGGATGCATCTTTTTGATTAAAGACAAATAGTCACAAATCTTCTGATTTTTGGTAGGTGCTTATATT